GAACATAACTCACACAGCTGCAAGAAAAAAAAAACAAGAAATGTCAATCTTTTTTTTCAACTAGACAGAAGGCCATTTGCACAGTCATGTAATTTACAGTGGATGTAAAGCTTGTTTAAGGTCAGTTCATTTCTCTAGCAATTTCTCTTGTTACTTAACACAATTCTCTGCCATACAGTTACCTAGTTTTAACACTGAAAAACATAATTATCTGCCTGTCACTTCTGTCTATTATCTGTTTATAAAGCTTCTGACCTTGTGAGATAAAGACAGACTCTTTGAAAGCTGTTTTGATCAACATATTGCTCCAGTAAATCCAGTCTTTCAATCTCCATCAGTAAGTCACAGGCCTCAGTTTCTGCATTGTGCTGCATGTTGTATGGTATAATTTCTTTAGCAAGGGCGACAAGATCTTCCACTCCCCCTCCTTTGTCTGATCTGTCACTGTACTCACCACGAATTTCCTCAGCCAAATGTCTGTGGATTGATAATCAGATACTGAGGAAATGACTGAACAGTTCCAAAAATACAGTACTGCTTATAAATAAAAGCTGACAGTCTTTAAACTAAATCCTCCCATCCTCAACAAATTAAAAGGCCAACACCAAGTTTGGAGTTTCAATTTTTTTAAATACAATTTTTTTTTATTTTTATTTTTATGACATATATTACTAACACTAAATAAACTCTATTTTATAAATTTTGGAGAATCAAGTTTATAGAATTAAGAATTGAGAATCAAGAATCAATGAAATAAATGTATGACCCAATTTTCCCTTCTGACATGTGTGATCCTGTGAGTGTTCTGCCACAATTTTCCGAAGGAAAAAAAGAAACAAGGAAAATTTAAGAAAGAACCATTTTCAAACAGGAGTGTCAAGAAAACCATAAATATTGACCACAGTCATCCTGGTGTACACAAGATATTCTTAAAAATTTCTCTTAATCTTCTATTGTTAAATAAGACAGCTGAAAACCTGTATCCTATATATCTATGGAACAATCTGACAATAATGTTGAAAGATTTGACTTGGAACAATCTGATCAGGGTACAAAGTGACCATGAATCATTTTTTTAAATGTTTACCTTTCAACTGTCAACTGCTTTGGGAATATTTATATGAACAGCCTGTACAGATATATACACATGCTACTGATACAGCACATATAATTATACATAGCTGAATCCAAGCAAAGTGTGGACCTGCTGTGACAGCAGTCTACTGACCTGACATATTCATGTCCCCATGACTCCAGTTCCTCTTTTGATCCCAACATTCTAAATTTCAGACACTCCCGACCTTCACTGATTGTCATGCCAAGTACTGAGATGATGTCTGCCAGGAATCTCTAAAATTCATTACAAAGTAAGGAATCAGGTAAAGAATTATAAACTTCAAAGTAATAATTTCCTGGCTCAGGTATTCATCACAAAATTGCATTCTAAATATTAACCAGACCTACACTAAAAACCTGAACCTCTACACAGGCATACAGGGAGTCCCTAGTGCCAATTACAACTGCCCTGACAGAGAGGAACAATATATCCTGCATAACTGCTAAGTCTCTAATCAGTTGTAAACAGATGTATATTTAATGGTTCTTGTTTTCTTGAAAAAAAAGTTTTATTCTCCTTTGACATTTGACTATACCAATCTTAACTATTTTTAAAAACCAAAATTGATTCTCACAACTTCTAATCATCTTAGATTTGCCTGACTATTTCAGTCTTTTTGTATTTTAATGTAGTTATTTAGATTTTACCTTTGGTATGTGTAACCACTTGCCTTTTGTGGAAAACAGCTTCATTAACAGGGCAGGCATGTTTTAAGTTAAGTCTAACTTACTTACCTTATTTTCACCATCACCCCATTTCTCATATATTTCTTTCAATGTAGAGAAGTGTGGTCTGAGGTATTTTAAGGGTTTAGGAACAGATGTCATCGAGCTTGTGCTGGCTCTGATTTGAGACCTCAGTGCTTCCAGTGCTGGTTTGTGTAATGATACATTGGATTCCTAATGTTTCAAAAATTGAATAATTAATTCACATCAAGCAGAATTTTCATCAAAACTAAACAAGCAGAAGATTAGACTTGAGTAACACTTGAATAACTACATATCAGTTCTTGATAAAAAAAATTCTGTGCGTTAGCCTGATAATTTTTCAATCTCCAATGCTACATAATATCCTAACAACCCCTCAACTCCCAAGATCTCATTTGTAATTCTCCTTACTATCTGTCATACAATTCTTTGTTTGGAGAATTTGGGATAGGTCACAGACTAATACCCTAGCTGATACATTTCTTAAATCTCAGTATTTGTATGTTTGATATTGTATTTGATATTTTTTGGAGAAGTTCTGTCTTTGACACTCAAAGGAGTTGAAGGGTTTAAGTGAACCAAAACTTTTGATATAACTTGTAGCAAACTAGAGAGGAAGATAACAGAATTTACCAGCTGATTAAACAGGTACAATACAACAGTGATGCGCTGATCTATTAAACATAAAAACAATGATCTAGCTTCTGTTGGCCTTTTTTTTTCTAGTACGATCACCGGGAATTGTAGCCCAACGGCCGCATACGTTGAATGGCAGTGGCAGATGTCAACTCGACAATTCGTCATTCAGGCCTCCCAGATGGTGTCCAAAAACAGGTTTACTTTGAAGAATATAAAGTTCCATTTATTGTCACATATTACAAAATTGCATGCCGTCTTTCCATGTTCGTTCGTTTAATTGAAAGGCATGTTTGAAGATCGATCCTTTCACGAGAGCATTTTTATCGTTAAATGAGAGCTTTAAGCGACTTACCGACAGTCTTTCCACAAGCATTGTCAACTCTTCTTGCAACAGTCTGTCCTCTTCGCTCTGTTAAACATCCCAGAATTATTCGTTTATTATATATACATAAAAAAGAAGAAATCGATGTCACGAGTCAGAAAAGTTGATGAGTCACGTTGGTTTTTTTCATTCATTTTCCTCAAAAGAACCCCAAGAACAATCAGAAAAAACAGAAAGAGAGTTACCAGTTCAGGCTCTTCTTCTTTTTTGGTCTCATCCTTCGATTTTTTGTCGTCTTTTTTGTCTGCAGTTGCCTCTTTCTCTTTCTTCTTCTCGGCAGCCGGCGCCATGTTGAAATCTATAGTGTCTGAGGTTCGCGCAGACTCCTGGGATTTCCTCCCCAATCTTTTACCAGTGTTCCCTGCCAAGTAGAGCCCAGCTGAACCTTTCCACTTGGGATGAGAAATTCTTCCGCGAGCTGTATAATGAAATTACACAAAAATCATTTTCAAAAATTTTTTTCTGAAATGATCGAAATGCGGATTCCGTTGGCAAGGTTTTTATAACCCTACTCTATTGTAAGAAACAGTATCGTGTTCACCATTTTTTTTTTTTAATGAAATGTAAATTGACCATTTAAGGTTCAAAACCTCGCTCAAAAATACTACTAACATTGATTTCGGTAGGTAAACATGGATAAAATTTTGCTTGAAAGATTATTCTTAGTTTAATTCGAGTGGTTCCACTTGAAGTGACCGTTCAATACAGGTAGAGAATAATAGAATCAGGCCGCTGGCGCGATTAGAATCAATGGAGGCGACTGCTTGATAAATGTGAAATTACAGTAATTGAGGGCAACACTGTTCGGGACTTTGACAATCGACCGCTTAGTACAGGGTGATCGGTAAATAGGTGTCACTTTATACAGGTACGACGGTAGTTGTATACTCAATCAAGTATGGGGTTATTGGGAAATCTTGAATAGAATGCGCACTTTAAAGCACTTTTCGCGTAAAATGCTCTAATTGAATTCCAAAAGAGCGTTCGATTGTACACCAAATTCTTCTCACGCAAAATGCTCTGGCAGTCCTCTGGGAGATCCTGTTATAGTAGTATTAAAATTTCATCATCTGTGTGGTGTAATCGCTGAACTGGAATACCTTAGTGGGTCCACTTTACACATGCTAAGTACTTTGTTCCTCAGTTTTCCCATTTTTGCTTTCATGCACCTACCGCACTTTTATGCACCTACCGCGCTTTTATACACCCTGACTGCGGTTCTAGACTTCTACCGCGCTGTTATGCACCCACCGCGCTTTTATACACCCTGACCGCGGTTCCAGACTCCTACCGCACTTTTATGCACCAACCGCGCTTTTATACACCCTGACCACGGTTCTAGTCCTACCGCGCTTTTATACACCCACCGCGTTTTATACACTTACCGCGCTTTTATATACCTACCGCAATTTTATGCACCTACTGCGCTTTTATGCACCTACATGTACCGCAGTTTTATGCTCCAACGGCGCTTTTATGCACCCACCGCACTTATCGCGCCTGAAGTCTAGTACTCTTGGTATTCAAGCTATGTGCTCCAGCATGAACATTGATTTGAAACAATAGAATCAGGCCGCACCCACACGCACCTATCGCGCTTGAAGTCTAGTACTGCTTGGCATTCAAGCTATGTGCTCCAGCATGAACACTGATTTGAAACGACGATTCTTTAAAGGTAAGATGATTAAATAGAAGTCAACGTTGAGAAAAAAGCAAATAAATATCGATAAACTTGGTCGAAAAGCTTCTGTTGTTGAATTATGCGTTCTAAGCCACTGACGCCGTCACGCAAGGGTAATAAATTTTGCGAAGCCAATTTCCGCGAGTTAAAATTTCGCGAATGTCGAAAAAAAATTATCAAATTTTGGTCCCGAAATATTTAGAAATGATGAGGTAGATTGCTCTCTCTTTATCCCTGAAACAACAAACTTGCATCGTTAGAAGGGTCTCTCGTCGAAGTCGATTAAATAGTAATTTTTTTCTCTGGAAGAGAGGGGGGAAGGCAAAGTAGCTGAGCTGTTTCGGAGTTCCACCTCATTTCCGGCTCTGCAGCCAAATTGTTTCTCTACTTCCAAAAAAACTGCTACACCCAGAATCCGAGCCTAAGAAACCTTTTAAAGCCGTTCTGATGGAGGGTAAGCACTTTCCACACTAATTATTTCATAGAGAAAGGTTTTTTATTTCACCGCCGAAGCTAGTCAAATTATTTCAGGACAATTTAATAACGTAATCTTTTTCATTCAATGGCCTGCGTGGGAGGCGTGTTGAGGGAAAGGAAAGAGAGTGGGTGAAGAGAGAGGGAAAAATTTAAGGCGAATGGGGCGAAATTTAAGGAATTCTTCCCTGTTCACCGTTCCTCTCGCGCGTTCCCCTCGAGCGTTTTCTCGCGCCTCTCGCGCAGGCCACTGATTTGCTGGATGACACTTTGAACTACATCTCTTACGGTAGGTAAATCCTATGATCAAAAACTCTTTTTAAGTAAATCTGCTAACTGATTTCAAACATGCACGAAAAATTTTGTGCCAGTTGCTGATGGGCAAAGCACATCTCTCCAAAGTTCTTGTTGTTTTTTTATAAAACAGAATCATAGCAAAAAAAAAGAATAAAAATGTGAAGTCAAAGGAGACTTACAGTTATTCATCAAAGCACAACACCATGAACTGAATACAGTCAAAATGATCATAAACACAAGGATAAGACACGTAAACCTGTCTAAACGTACTGGGTATGTACAATATATGTTGGCCATTTATACACTAGCTGCAAACAGTATTATTGAGAATGTTAATAATTTCAGAGTAAGTTTAAAGACCTTGTAATGAGTTAAAATTTTTGCTATAAAAGTCTCTTTCTTGTTGCATTCTATACAGTTATATCATTCAATCATCACGAAACCTTGCATAAGATTGGAGTAAAACTCAACAAATGTACAACTATAGTTACTAAACATTTTCATTAAGCTGTAACAGCAATTTAATCCCTAATATACATACAAACATTGTTTTACTCTCATAAAAATCAATCTACACAAAGTAAACATGCCAATGATTACAAAAAAGCAAACTTTACAGTAACTAATGCAACAACTAACAAACCAAAATAATCAGAAAGTAAGAATCAAAGTAAGAGAAAACAAATAAAGAAAGCTACAATATTCACTTGTCTAGTTTCATGACAATCAACCAATTCAGTGTACAGTTGCACCATTAATTCTTATCGAAGGCATTTTGTGTTTGTGCATGCGATCAGGAAAAGAATGTCCATGTTAATCTAATCTTGCTATGCTACTGCTCCAGCTATTGTTCCATATGGATGCGCAAATTTTTCATCCATTAACAGGTTTAGCAGTACTGTCACATCATGTTTAAATTGTTTTAGAGTGCTAACAGCGGTTGACTCACCACTTGGCACTTCACTTCCTTCACTATCTGAATAATGGCTGTTAGGTGGTTGCAGTTGACTGTTCTTGCCGCTGTCAGAGGGGGGATAACCCATCCCTTTTGCATCCTCTAGAGGACCTGCATTCTGAAAACTGTCGCAGTTTTCAGTAGTTAAGGCCATTCCCCATGCGCCCCCTTGATTTTCTACATCAGAGCTGTTTGATAAGGTTTGGTAGACAGGTACATCAAGTGACTGCCAAAAGGTACTTGTGCTCTCAGCAAATTCAAAATCTTGCATTCCAGAGCTCCTTTTCCAAAAACTGGCTTCTTTTTCTTCTTCTTCTTCTTCTTCTCCTATAAACTGTGGATGCATTCCTGAAAACCAAAGCTGATCTTCAAGGTCATCAGAATCAACCTCACTACCTGCTGAGCTGACACTGCTCCTCTCTTCATCAGAATGTGTTGGTGTCACACAATAGAAATCCTCTGCTTCTTGGCCATCAAGATCATCATCGCTTTCTTCATCACTGGCAACATACTCACTGATGTTGTCAGGAGCTGGCACAGGGGTAGAGACCTCACACCACTGCACTGTTTCTAACTCTGTGTTTCTGTCTGAGGCTTCCCTGAGCTGGTTTTGCATATCTTCGGTTAAGGTGACTGAAGCATCAAACCAGCCTAGAATTAAATGAAAGAAAAAAAAAATCAGACTCTGGATTGTCTTCTTAAGAACACAGTAAGTATTTGATTCAAATTAAACCTACATTTGTTGTGATGGTAACCATTTTTGAACAAGGAAATAATGTCTTTATTTTGAATCTAAGATCAGTTGGAATATCTTTCTATCTCAAAAAGTTTTTTTTTTAATGGAAAACTGGGCAGCCTCGTGTATACAATTGACAATGTTTTTTTTTTTTTTTTAAACAAAGACAAAAACCTTGTCTTAAAGCACAGTAACCCTTTTGATTAAAACAAAACTAATGAGCCATCCCATCAACACATTTCCCACATTCTTTTTGGTTATTCACCTCAGAAAAAAGGTTTTTTTTTTAAATTAAATGCAAATCTCTAAAAGTCTGTAGTTATCAGAAGATTTAATTATGATTTACATAATCATTAATTACAAATTAAATAAATATATAACAAAAATACAATAATTATCAACATGTTAATTCTATTTGTTCAACAACAAGGAGATAAGATTTAATCATCAAATCAGTTAGGAGGTGGTATCTTCATTTATAGAAAAAAGAAAAAATTATAATTTAAAAACAATTCACAAATCAATAAAACATGTGATGACAGCTAAAAGGAAGAGTAACAGATTTGAGCTTAGGGGTATAGTGGTATTGATGTAAATTGTACAAATTTAAATCATGAATTTGTACCAACTTCAAACTAACTTGTAAAATTACACCTCAAATTTCATTTATTTTATAAAGTAGTCACCCTCCAAAAGTAAAGATAGAAAGAGGTTGTAGAAACTTAAGGTATTATTACATGTAACTGAGGGAATTCAGGTCTTTACAATGCGTTATTTCTAAGAATTTTGTGTTAGGAATGTAGTATCAAATTGAATATAAAACATGTATATCATTGCTTATTTCAAATTAAGCTTTGTTATTCTCTTGCCCTGAGTGGTTTAAAAAGTGTTGATATGCTCACAGTAGGAGAAAATGCACTTGTTGCATGCCAAAATAATGGAGACATAGCATTTTTGAAACAAAGCCAAGCATTGCATGACAAGCAGATTATTGGTAAACACATTAAAAACTGCCCTAAGCCCTATTTTCACATTTTACAAATATTTTACACAATAACAAGATTGTGTTACTACACCACTCCTGTGACAAACATTTTCAATAAAGTTATATCCACCAGACTGATATTCCAAATAGTAACAAATTGGTATCATCAAATTATTTAAAGTTAATTTGTTATGTATAAAGCTGTTACATGTGAATGAATAAAAGGAATATTACTTTAGTTTCAGTTTTAAGATCAGCATTTGGCTTTTGTACAAGTATGCACTTTGAAATCTAATTCTTAGAGTTTCAGTAGTACTAAACTACTTAAGCAATCTTTGGTTAAAATTGTAAGGGAGATCAGAGCACATACAAATCCACAACAAAAACAGAATTAGGCAGTTCTTTTCAAGGTTTATAGTAACAAACTTTAAGGCTGTGCTTAACTTAAGCTTGGTAATCTAGAAAAGCCCAGTTCTTTTTTAATTTGATAACCTAACTGGAATCTATGAAATATTTTTTTTCTAAACTGTGACCCCAATTCCTGCATAAATCTTAAGTTAAAGGCTTCAATTGATTCACCTGGGGCCAGTGAGCTTGCCTGATGACACACGCATTGAAGGCAACACATGGCTTTAGTAAAAAAAAAAAAACAAAAACATTTTTATATCCTGTTAAATACTCAGTTGGAAACCACAAAGGAAATGTGAGCCCCTGCGGAAGCATGTATTAATATCACATTGCATTTTTGAGGTCCTAATTGATCAGATTCTTTTATATTTAGCACCTTGTGTTGATCATATGATAACAAAATGCTCACCACATGTCACCCACAGCCAAAATGGTGAAACAACCTTTGATCATAATTTCATTCTAGAAGGAAAATCATTCATGCAGAAAACCTTCTACATCTTTTTTTAATTTAAACCAAATATAAGGATATTACTTGTCAAACAAAAGAGATTTAATGATGCAAGCAAGAAATAATCTGTAAGTAATTGTTTTAAAATCTAAGGCACAGCGCATTCTTCCTAAAATGACTTTATCCCCTTATCTTCAGCAATCTCATGTCCTATTCAAGTATTTAATCCAGAGATGTTAATTATTCCCACATCCTCTTATGCCAAAATTAGAAAAAGAAAATAGATTCAGCAGATTTGTAAGGAAAGATATGGAAATTACAGGTAACATTCCCACCAAATATGTTCTCTAGAGACTTCAATGGCTAGGTTTTTCACAAAACAGCAAATTACAGCTTATTATTTCATGAAAGTGGTCATGCTTGAAGGAATAAGTTTCTTTGTGGTATTATGGAAATTACTTTTAATTATGTCTGATACTTCAATCAGATTTAAGACGGGAGACATGTTTCAGATCATGCAAAGATTGACAAGCAAGATATTTGGATTCTCCTTTCCGATGAGAGATTTAACTAAAACCAGAAGTAAATTTGACTCGCCTCAATTTTCTAGTGATATTAAATCCTATTAAAATTGATCTTCCTTTTTTTCCAAGACAAAACATTTAATAAAACAAATATAAAAACAATGGAATCAAGAAAGCTAAATAATAGGAAACATCTGCTAAAGGAGTTAAGAATGATCAAATAAATCTTTAATCACACCAATAGTCAAATTGGCAATATTTATATTTCATGCATATCAGATCTACACAATTTTCTAAAAATACAAAGAATTGAAATCTTACCATTGAGATCTTTGAGATGAAGCACGGCTCTTGTGGTGTTGTGGATTAAGTGAAGTGCCCAGATTGATGCATCCTCCATACTGACATAAACACGAGCATTTATATTCATCAGGCAAACCAAACGATACAAGGCAAGACAGCTTGGAATGGGTTCAACTCCAAATCCGTGACCATGTAGTGAGTCATAATTTGCATCAAATGTGACACCCCCCTGAATCCAGAGTTCAGGGAAGGTAGGCATACAGTCATGAAACACCCACATATTATTGTTTACATCATAGTTTACAAACAAATGGGGGACATAATTGTTATTTACTACTGTCCACATCCCAGCCACTTCTGCTTGAATTTTGTGCTGTTCCTCAATATCCCAGTGATTGCTGCTAATGAAGTATTCACAGTTACTGACATAACCAGTGTCAAAGCCTCCTTCTGATTCATCATCACTGTCAGTGGTGCTACTTGCAATTATACGTCTAGCCTTAGTGTCCTTTCTCTCAAATGAAAATTGATTACTGATGCTTCTCAATGGCGATCTTGGGCTAGATAACCCACAGCTAGATAGTGATGATGTTGCAGAGTTACATCTACTACTGAGAAGTTTCGGAGGGGACAGGAACAACTCCTTGAACGTACTCACCCCCATAGGATGCATCAGAAAATGAGGGTGGGTGAGTAGGGTAAGAAGTTCGAGAGCATCTTCTCTGAAGGCTACTGATGTTGGACTGCCGTTGGACAAGGTACACGACATAGCAGCTTTCCAATCGAAAACTTCGAAATGAACCCCTGTCTCCCTGTGCTTCAGCCGGTATCTCCATATGCGATAAAAAGTTAACCCGGTTTCCTCCGTCGCATAGGCACGAAATAGACAAAGCCAACGAAACATAACCATGCAACTAGGGATAACTTGATACGGTCGGATGTAGCGTGCTGGTTTTGTCGAAGCTTTCATTTTGCCACTAAACCAGTCCTCGTTGTATCCCCTTCGCTTGTCGATGAAAGTCCACTTGAGATCGTGAGTGTCAAAGAATAATTCAAAGTTCTTATTGAAACCTGACGTGTTGAACTCGTCCTCCTGCTCAAAAACATCCGGAACTTCCCACTTCATCATGGTTCCCGCCATGTGCAAGAACATACTTTCACGCAATTCAATCTCGGTCAACTCATCACCGCTAACACAACAGCAGATGAAATATTTCATATAATCGGCTGTATAGTTTCCCCTTAGAGACAACTCTTGATAAGTGTTCATCCAATTGACGCACGATAGAGACACTTTCTCGTACAGAAACTTCTGCGATGGCCACCGCAATAGTACAAGTCTTCGCCAAAGCGACGGAGTTTTAGCGATGCTCCTCCACTGTTTACAAACCCACGAGCACTTCGTCAGAGTCGGTCCATTAAGATATCCAAATATATGAAGAAGAATTTCGTCTAAAAACACAGCCATAACTTTCTCACGATGTTGACATAGGAAAAATAAAATTGCGCGCCACCTACGATTTCGTCTCGACAAGTTTTTGTTCTCGTCACGAGGTAATGGTTTTGTTTACTTCGCCACCACCGGAAGTCGACCTCGTCTCAAGGAAAGTACCGGAGATGACGTTTCCGAAGTCTCGACGAATTTACTATCGTGACTTCCGGCCAGCTCGCGACTAATTTTCGGAAGTCGAAGCTAGTAAGCAGGCTCAGAAAGTTATGGCATAGAAGTCGGCTGGGGATGGAACAACGGCTGTCGGCGAACGTTATAATTGCACAAGTTTTCAACGTGGCATAGATCCTTTGCTCTTTAAAAGTATTTCCTAACCCTACAGCAATTTTCTAAAACAACACAGCCAAGGCAAAGGTACACTCGTTCTTTTGATTCTTTTATCTATACATTGTTGTTGTTCTGGCTGTAAGCTTGACGTGGCATGTGGCCTGAAGAGAAATCAATTTAACCGTATTTTTTGTACATGACAGAAATTTCATTTCCTCTGTCCCTTCGGTCAATTAAGCTGAGCTACTAAGAAGCAATTTTGTAAAGAAAGATACTCAATCACTCAGAGTTCGGCAACGCAAACATTCTTTCAAAATCAATGTTCGATCGAATACATAACTCTCATTACAGTGTAGCATAATTATCTTAAATGATACGTGTACTTTTCGATTCAGGGAATCAATCACGACAATATAGCATCGATCTCATCAATGTTAAAAATGTAACATACCGATGATCTCCACCAACCTCCCCTCTACAAAGCTCCTTGTATAGATTTTCAAGTTTCTAATAAGCTCCTTTCCCCATACATCATTAGATATTTATCAAATCTAGGCTACTGTTCATCCTTGGAGACCCAGGGGCTGTGAGTCGATTTTGAGTCAGGGTGGAAGAGCCCGACTTGACCTGAAATCGACTCACAGCCCCTGGGTCTCCGAGGATGGGCTACTGTTTAGAAAGTTATTATAAATTGCATCAAAGCCCCAATGGCAAGTATTCTGTTCCTCTCCACTTCTCTCTGATTTTAGCTCTGTCTGCCCTCATTATTCTATGCCAAGGTTCTTTTCCAGACATTTCACTTTTACTGATGTAAAGAATACCTTAAATGATATTGCAAGGTCTTTGCTTAGGAAAGGTCTGTTGTTTCACCAAATTTAACTCACAATCAGTTGCAAAATTTAAATTGTTTCCTTTGCTTTAGCACAGAGTTCATGATTTTTAGATGCATTCATACTGATATAATTTCTTCAGGTCTGGCCCAGTTAAATTTTTAGGGCATCTTTGCTTGCTTGATTTTCTCCTCTTACTTTGCTATTAGTCTGTCCCTTACTTGATATTTTTATGAGAGACTTTTGAGTGTTCAAGTTTATTTAAAAATGCATTGTTAGACCTATATATGTTCTTTTTCTTTGTAGAAACCTTCAAGAAAGAAATTTGTGATCCACAGAAATATGCTTGTGATTGCATACATCTCGTTTGGTGTTCTTTCCGCACTTTGTGGTATTTTCCACTTTTGGTGCAAAACAGGTCAAAGGGATGACACGATGATAGTGAACCCCAACTTTGTCTCATTCCAAAACAGCTACTTCAGAGTTTACTTCCTAGCACTAATGGCTGAATGGCTCCAGGGACCGTACCTTTACAAACTCTACAGTCACTACGGCTTCATTGACACGCAAATTGCCATAATTTATGTGTGTGGCTTTGCCTCAAGTGTTGTGTTTGGAACTTCTAGTGGATACTTTGCAAGTGTGTTTGGCCGTAAAAAGGCTTGTGTAGTTTTCACATTACTGTACTCATTGTGCTGCCTGACGAAGCTGTCAAGAAACTATGGTATTCTAATCCTTGGAAGAATTTTGGGTGGAATCTCTACTTCCTTGTTATTCACAGCTTTTGATGCATGGTATTTGTATGAACACACACAGACCCATAATTTTCCTAGTGAGTGGGTTTCTGCAACATTTGCCAAAGCAACACTCTACAACAGCATCATCTCTGTAGTAGCTGGGATTTTAGCCAACACCGTAGCTGAATGGATGCCTTTTGGACCAGTGGCCCCATTTGTCCTTGCCATACCATTTCTTATTGCAACTGGGATTTTGATCCAATTTACTTGGGATGAAAACTATGGGGGAAAAAATAACAAAGTCATTCAACCATGTATTGAGAGCCTACGACATATTGTAACAAACAACAAAGTCATGTCTATTGGCATTGTTACCTCACTTTTTGAGAGTGCCATGTACATATTTGTTTTTTTGTGGACTCCTGTTTTGGACAGAGGGCATTTGTATCCTCCTCTGGGAATCATCTTTTCATGTTTCATGTTGTGTGTTACTCTAGGAGGCTTTCTGTTCAATTTTACCGTCAAACTAGGTATAAACCCAGCCAATGTTGTGATTTTAACTGTTATTGTAGCATCTGGGGCAAATATTGGTGCAGTTTTTTCCAATGCCTTGCATCCGAGTACATCATTTATTCTGTTTATTATCTTGGAACTAGCTTGTGGACTGTACTTCCCAGCAATGGGTTGGTTGAGACAAAGGATTCTACCTGAGGCCCATCATGCTGGTATTATAAACTGGTTCAGAGTACCGCTGAATGCTATTGCTGCAATTGTTTTGATGGTACTTCATGACACTCATAGCAGTCATGGTATATCTGCAATATTTGCCCTTTGTTCATTATTGTTGGCTGTGGCAGGTATTGCTGCTGTAAGACTCTCCGTCCTGTCAAGAAATGATGAAAATTTGAAACTTGTCCATGACATGGAAGAAGGACTTTGAAGAACTACATCTAATCAGATATATCTTGCCTTTGGAAGATGTGATCTTCATTTTTAGGTCACAACATGAAGGAAAGGGGTTGACTAAGAAAATTGTGTGGCTGTAAGTCACTAACCTCACTTCAGTTTGATGTAGAAACATTTTACACGCTTAAGTGGCCATATTTATTTTCATTGAACTTGAAGAAAAATTTTTAACACATGACAGTATGTGTAAGATTCAGGACAAGGTAGTGTTCGTTACTGTAAGTTCACCCTCTTAACTATGGCCTTTCTCAAGAGAGGTCCCCCTCCCTAAGAAGTTCCCCCAACCATAGCTTTCCCCCCCTAAAGAAAAATAATTAAAGCTTAACATGTGGTGATTAGATATCATCATCAGAACTTGACTTGAGCTAAAACTTGAAAGGTGATCAATCAAAAATTGTTATGGCAGTGTATGATATGTTATAGTGACCAAGAAAGCCAAGAAAGCTAAGTAATTGATCTTAGTTAATTCCTTTCTTTTGTATGTAATGATCTTTTCCTCTCTTTTTGTATTAATTTTCTAGCAGATATACATGTTCATGTTTTCCCATATTTATTATAATTTTAAGTTGTATTTATATATAAACTCTACACTGCCTAGATTAGTTATGCTAGTTGCGGTGTACAGTTACCTCTCTGTCATTAATTAACTTTCATTATTTAATTAAAATAAATCAGTTGGAAAAATCTGTTGCAATCAAACATACAAATAACAGTTTCATCTGTTGTTTCCCCACACATCAGACTTTTAACATTCCAACAAAATCCGACCTTTCTGATCGACACTCACTTAACCCTTTACACTCTAACATCAGTACTTAAATTCTCCATACTGTTCTTCATACATTTCCCAAGGACATGACAGAGAGAAATAGTTTTAAAATCAAGGGCTTCTTTGATGATCATTTCCTTTAATCTCATGAAATTGATGTTTGATTCAGAAAGTAGATGCTAGTCACTCAAAGGGGTTAAATGGTTGAAGCGTCTTGTATAGAATTTGATTAAGAACTACTTGTATTCCTCTAGTTTAAGATTCAAGAACTTCTTTAGTTGGTGATCATTTCCTTTATTCTGGTGACCAATATATGATTCAGGGGTGATATTGTAAGGAGAAATTAGATGCTGGTCACTCTTAAGGGTTAATGGGTTTTGCTTCAGTATGGGGCATTGAGAGCATTCTTAAAACTGTAGATTTCCCGGGGTGGGGCGAAGGAATGAATGGGCTTGGAGTTGAGGGGGTGATGGGCAACATTCTTGTTTCAAAACGAAAGTAGGTCTGAGCAGCAATCAAAACATTGCATTGCATGCTTATTCTTTCTTAGAAATTAATTTTTATTTTGTCTAAATTGTATTACAAAACTCTTGTCTTTGACTAAATTCGTTTTCATCTGATTCAAATTACTATAATCTTATCCACGCCGTACTCAAGAAAGGGAGTGTTGAGCAATAGCATCTCGAAGCTTTGACAAAGGTTCTTACAAGTGGATGTCAACACCGTGCATAGCTGAGAGCTTAGTTCAAAAGCACCAACCAGCTGGGGTACGATTTCTCGCGCTGCCATGTCTTTATTTCACACAATGATATGTCAGCCAAGCAAATGTGATAACAGCGGGTAAGGAGGTTGGATGAAATAAATTCTGCTCTTAAAGAAGATATGCCATAAATAATTCTATGGTTAAAAATCACTGCCAGCTTTCCAATACACTTTCATATTCGTCTGGTGAGATAAAGGGTTGATCCACAGATCTGATGAAGACAATAAGAGAATGAAAGTCAGTGTTGTAGGAGTTTCAATGGAGGTAAGCATAAGCGACATTATCACAAGAACCAATCAGAACAAAGGTTACCGTCGTCATCAGCCAGTAAAAATTCAAATAAAAAACCTCAAAAAGCGCGGGAAAACGCGGCTGACCAATTCACAAATGGTTTTCGTTTTGCATCTAATTGGCCGAAAGGATGGCGTGGGTTTTCTAAACCAATCACAGATAGACGTAACGCAAAATCAAGGTAGTCCCGAAAAATTCGACACTCAATTGAAAATGACTGCATTTGCTGTCGCGAAGTTCAAACAGTAACGTGAACTCCGCTTTTAGATATGCGCGGTTTTTAAACCTTGAGATACCTTTATAACTAGGTTGTTTGAAGAAAATAAATGGTTTTTATAACGTGTTAAACCTGGCTTACTACAATAAACGTTCAAATGAAACGTTTAGCTGAATTGAAGAAAGTCTAGAAGGTGATTCTGTCGAACATCAACTTAGCTTCGTTTAAATAATCAGACCCTGTATTTCTTGCTGTGACACATTACCTGCGTGGTTTGATTTCTCGCTAAACTGAATAAGTAGGTCTACCTCGCAACGAATTACTCAGTTAAGATACAGCATCACCAAAATCAAGCGCTATTAGGACTGCTTTGGATTTGCTTTAAATCGTTATATGATTGGTCCACATGACTCGCGCCACTAGGTCAACCAATCAAATTCAAAACTGAAACCAGTTGCGACTAGGTCACGCGTCTTCCCGCGCTTGGGAAATTTGCTTGCCATTAATCCGAGTTTTTAATTGCTCCTCGTGATATCTTCCATTGTTGTAATTGGGAGTTATATAATGTTCCTACCTGATCATAATTTCCCCACAGAAAGGACATTCTGATGCGATCAGTTCATCCAGCTCATTCTAAGAAAAATGAGTATATCAAACGGCAATTTTCTACGATTTCAAGCCTTCGAGGTACCAGAGCAAGTATAATCTATTATGTTCTCCTGAAACACAAAGTTTTGTTGGTCTGTTTTGTTCGGTTTAGTTGATTTGTCTGTTTTTTCTCTTTCTTTTGCTTTTAATTTTAGTATTTGGTGGTACTTGCACTACTAACAACGATATCACATTAACGCCACAACCAGCAACGAGTTTTCCAACGCCATGCAGCGGTAACTTGCTATGTTTCAGTGAGTTTCGTACTACTGGTTAACACTTGAGTCAACATTTTATCCCAAGAGAGACCAACAAGTTATTTCCTTTTAAACCATTACCAATGTCATGCAGAACGGCTAAGGGAATTGAGGGGAGATGTAGCCTAGCCTAACAGGGTGTTACTTTATTTTATAGGAAAGACTCCCCTCCCCACCCCATCGCCAAAAAGAAAGGAAAACACTAAAGAGTAATTAAGAGTATTCTGATTTATAGAAAGGCAAAATGTAAATTTCCTTTGAGATCTTGTAAGCGAAAGGGTAAGCGCCCTTGCTGGACTATATAACTCACTGATTGCAAGGCGTTCTAATGATAGTGCACGCACTTTCCTCGATGACCTGACAGTAGCAAACCGGACCAAGTTCTTTACAATGACTCTCACAATTTCAAAATACCTTGAGAGTTTCTCGTGAGGTCGATGAAACCGAGGATGAATCAGTTCTTGACGTCGCGTAGAGCTGGTTAAATAGGTCTTGAACCTTAGCCCTGAAAGATAAGTAGACATTTATCTTTAACTTAACGAGAAAGTCCTGGATTAGGTGGCGACAAATATACTTGCTCTTTGATAACATTTTAAGTTTACCTCGATCATTCTCTAATCTGAATATATCAGTAAATTTATCATTTATTCTCCAGTTTGGCCTGCTCTCCATATCAAACAGGCTTTTCCCAAAGAGGAGAAATTTCAAAACACCTCCTTTGAGGTATTCTGTGAATAACTCAAAAACAGTGCATTTTGAAAATACTGACGTCAATTGATGCCTGCTATAATCCCCTTGCGACCATTCTGTGCGCATGTGCTTCTTATCAAGGAGCTCCAGGGGAAGAAAGAGAACCCTCAACACGTTACTGAGCGTTTTAGAATCGGTAGGGGGTTAGGAACTAACTATGGGACGAACTATAATTTAGTTTTACATATGTCTTGTGAGCTAAAATTGTCGTACCTCTGTTTTTCTTTAAGATGTGGTAAAATCTGCAACAAGAGGTGAAAGTCAGATAGAATCATTAACACAAAATAAATGATAACATCAAAGGGCAAGTAATGTTGATTGCTATATTTATGTTGTGTCAAATTGTTGCATCTACAAATCTGGTCAATTCCCTAACATAGGGTGAATGTCTGGTTCGCCACACGATGAATTAGTCAACAATGTTTCCTCAGAATTAACAGGGACAAATTTATATTAACAATAAATGTGCAATACTGAAAAACGAAACCCAAAGTAATCACAATAGTCAATCAAATATTTACGTTATCATTGGCCAATGAAGACTCAAGGTAAAAACAAAAAAACAACCAAAAGTGCGGGAAAACGCGGGCGACCAAATCACGATCGGTTTTCGTTTGGCATCTGATTGGTTTAGAGCATCGCGCTGGTTTTCTGAACCAATCGTTGAACGGAGTAAAGCAAAGCCAAGGCAATCCGGACTACATTCGACACTCAATTGAAAATTGCCCTAAAGTAAGCATTGTAAGATCAAGTGCACACCTCATTCTTGAGACAATCTGAATGGAAGGAATGATGACAGGGAAACACATAGAAGCCTCTTGTAAGCAGTGGATATAGGCATATCGAACACTTCTCTTGAGCTGGTACAACCCTGTATCTGAAATGTCCAGCGAAAAAGAATGAAAAAAATGGGTTAGAAACTACATCAATGGCAATACGACCTTGAAGCTGCAGTGAGTACGGATTATTAACAGAACAAAGCCCCGGAACATTGACGTAATACAGACATCAATTTAAGGAAATGCAGTTTACACGGAGGAAAAATTAAATTCACGAGTGATTTCAGAACAATGGTGGCCCAACGAAATGAAACTGCACGCCTTGAAGACAGCAGAAACAGGACGAAATTCCCGGCAAGAAATCCAAATCCTTGGGTGTAGCGTTTTGGTATAAAGAAAACAGCTCTCCGATTAAGCTTGCTTGGTTACTTCATTTCTTAGCCCATGACAATGATCACCAAATAACTAACTTCTTTCCTAAATAGAGGTTTCGACACAGGTCGGTTACCAGCAGTCTATTGCCGCCTTTAACCCTTTACATCCTAACATCAGTATGCATATTCTCCATACTTTCTCGATACCTTTCTTAAGGTTCTGAAAAGAAGAATTTGTTTAACAATCAAGAGCTTCTTAAGTTGTTGATCATTTCCCTTATTCTCATGACCTTAATGCTTTATTCAGGGGTGATCTTGTAAGGAGAAATTAGATGCCAATCACTCTTAAGGGTTAAAGGGTTAAGACCTCTTACTACCATCGAGCAGGCTCTCGTGCTTGGGTTTCGCCTTATGGCCACTTTTTGGACACAGCCGCCCATTTTACCAGCGGCATCCGCTAATGGCAAAGTTAATAGATTAAAAACCCCTGTAACATTTTTAGGGCTACTTAATGCACTACGTTAATTTAACTCACTTATTTCTCATTTCATGGATGTCTCCTCGTATCGTTTTGGCACTTTCTGTAGCTTCCTAATAAAAGAAATTAAATATGAAACCTTTTCACTGAGAAGTGCGCATTCAGAATAACATAAATAACCCCCATTGTCCCAGCATGCTATTCTGGGGAGATAAAAGGTTTAGATGAACGAAAGGCAGAAGATGTGCTGCATCGTGCTTTGTTGTGGTTGAAACAGTTACATGAGACTTTGAGAGTAGGCGCTTA